ACATTGCAAGACCCACCTGTGGATACCTGAAACTATTGATAATAGCAAACCCTATGTCTGGGCTGGAAGCATATCATAGAATTGCTCTGGAGGACCGAGAGACACCCACAAATGTTTCCAGGAGTGATTTTTTTTAAGTGTTTTAAAAGATTTTATTAAAGGTAATAAAATCCTGGATATTGCAACCATGGATGGGCATCATACTGAACTAGATTTTATCAGTATTTGTATGGGTAGCTGGAGTGATGTAGTCGTTTGTGTGGCGGGCTAAAACTAGAGGCCGGGGCTCAAATCCCTGTTCAGCCATGGAAACTAACCAGGTGATCTTGGGCAAATCAAAAGCAAGTTCTGCACTGGCATATAATCCAGTGCCTGATTCCAGATTATCCGCTTTGACCTGGATTATATGGGTAAAAACTACCATATAATCCAAAGCAGGTAATCTGGATTTTGTATGGCAGTGTAGAAGGGGCCTCATTTGACTGGCTTTTGTAGATGCCTCTTCTTAAAATTCCAATTTGAAATCTGAAAAAAAAAGCATTTCTGCTTTGCATTGCTCTGGTTCCCCAAACAAATACAGATACAATCTAGCTCAATATGACCCCCTTATCCACTGATGCAATATCCATGATTTCATTTACCCGCATACTTCATAGCAGAGTGGAAAGGGCATTTTTTACAAGGCGAACTTGAAGACACATAACAACAAAATATTGTGAGAGGAATTACCAGCATGAGCATTGTGAAGGGCAAGACTCTTCTCTTGAGCATGACTATCTTGAAACTTTTCATGATATTCAACATAATGAAAAGGCAGCAAGTTATTAAGAGTTCATTTGGTTGCTGTTTTTTTTTTCAACCACAGCAAGGGAAGTGAAGTGGTGTTTATGGAATTTTTGCTTCATATGAGTTGGTCAAAGGAGGAAAACCTATCTCAGCCTGAGGGCCATATTATTATTATTATTATTATTATTATTATTATTATTATTATTATTTAGTTGTATTCTTTCCTACCCCCCTGGGGGGGACTCAAGTGCAGATTCCAGCATATACAGACACAAAGGCAAACATTCAATGTCTAGAAACAGTGACACAGAGATACATGGATAAAGGTTAAGGCTTCCCCTTTCATCTCCGGCTCTGGGGGTGGTGCTCATCTCTGGCTCATTTCCATTTTTTAGCCTGTGTTGTCTGTAGACACTTCCTAGGTCATGTGGCCAACCAAAGGATTACCTATTGAACTACTCATATTTGCATGGTTTCGAACTGCTAGGTTGGCAGATGCTAGGGCTAACAGTGGGGGCTCACCCCATCCCGGGAATTCAAACCACCAACCTTCTGGTCAGCAAGTTCAGCAGCTCAGCAATTTCACCCATTGTGCCACCACAAAAGTTTTTCAAAAAGGAGTTCTCAAAAATTTCATCCCAGTGATGGACAGGGCCTAAGGCAAAAGGGTACAACCGAAAATATCAGCGCGTTTTAACTAAAGTTCTTGTTGATGCTTCCTAAGCCATGCTAGTTGGAAGATTCTGGGAGTTCACATAAAAATGAGGTTTTCCAAGCTTTGGGAAATGTCATGTGGGAACAGATGTGAAGTGACTCATCAAGTTACAGTCTACATTCAACAAAACCTGCCTACACACATCAAAACCTTTTAGCATTACAAAGCTGTTATGCTAAGACAACCACTGTGTCATGAGTCACATTTTTTTAAAATGCAAAATTATTGTAGCTGTGGGGGAGCACAGTGGGATAGACCTGCTATATTTGCCTCATATAGGGTCTCCAAATGCCAGTTCTTTTACAGGTTTCCTGCATATGCCAATGCACATCTTCATGTCAATGATGTTAAGAAATCTACACAAATGCTGTAGTGCATATACAGATTTACAGGAAGGGGGGGGGGGATTTCCAAAATCCTATTATTAGTGCAAATTGAAGTGACTTAGATTTACCAGTCTATTCACTTGCCATCCAGCAACTTATTTAATGGGTCTACTCTACTTAGTACTAACCAACAGTATTCCCACCCTGTATTCCCATATGAACCTGCATAGATCCCATTTTGCAGAAAACTGCTATTTCTGTTATGTTTCAAAAGCTGGTTGGAGGGACAGGTTTTCAGAAGAAGAGGATAAGAGAATTGTGTAACCACTTCTGATATTTAATGGATCCTCAAGCTATAGGAACTGAGTTTTAAGCATACACGGGAGTTGTAATTACAGTTGCCAGAGTGAAAACCGAAAATGGTTCTTGTACTTTTGCTGTAGAAGTAGAAGAGGGAATTTCAGCAGGTGTTGCTTGTTACACAACAAACAACACCTGCTGAAATTTCCCTTTCAACACAACCATTAAAAAATAAGAATGCTCTCCAGTTTTCACTTTAGCAATGATATATACAGTTTAAAGTAGAATCAACAGGAAATCCTTTAAAAAAAAAGAGGAGAGAAAGAGACATCCATATCTGAACTTGATGAAGTCTTGCATTGGCATGGAGAATTCCTAACTGCCAGTGCCACATGAAATCTAAATCATTACAATAGATTACAGTCTTCTATACATTTTTTGAAGTATAAAATCCATATTTACTCGAGTCTAATGTGGACCTCAAATTTACTCGAGTCATTGAATCTAATGCGGACCTCAAATTTCAAAACTCTGAAACAAAAAAAAAAGGTATTTGCTGGCAAATGTAATGTGTAATGGAAAAAAGTACACTCTTAGTAATTTAGCCAAAAAAGGTGCACATTACAGTAGCAGCATGCTTATTATTCCTTCTTTAAAAACAAAAGTATTAGAACACTAAAGCTTTCCGCAATGGCAAAGAAAACCTTGGCATGCATCTATACTGTAGAGTGAATTCACTTTAACTGTCCTGGTTCAATCATATGAAATCAGGTATTTTTTCACAAGGTCTTGAACTTTCTCTGCCAAGGAATGCTGTTGCCTCACCAGAGAACAAATCCTAGGATTACATAGCAATGAGCCAGAGCAATTAAATTAGAAATGACATCCCATACATAGGAGCTCCAGGTGCTCCTGAAGTTGCTTCGCTTTTTGCTTTGGCTCAGCACTAAGATTACTATATAATGCAAATCTGATGCATACCCTAATTTTGGGAAGGTAAATTAGCTTTGAAAAAGGTGAGTATTAAATTCAAGTTAATACTGTATATCGGTCAATTCATGTTGATCGAACATGCTTTAAAATCAAGGCCATCCATATATGTGTGTTTACATTGGTATTCCACTGCTTTGAACTGGGTGTGCATGCTTTGAGCTATGGTTTTGCGATTCCAGAAAACCTATGACATATATTCCCCTGAGGGCAGAGTTAGTTCCATTTTCAGAGTACTGGATTTTCCTTTCCTTACCTACCCAGCATAAACATTTTCAGTCTTTCCTGTCTCTCCAAGCTCTTATTTCAGTCAGAAAAAGGGGGTCAGGGAGAAGAGGTACTTTCAATGTGTCAATGGATACGCAATCTAGAAAAGCTGTAGAACTAAAGAGACAGAATATTATACCACACTGACCAAAAATGCAGGCTGAATTGGCATCCCAAATGCCATATTGACCCTGTATGATGGTCTAGTTGGGACTACCTGAGCCATCTCAGAAATAGCAGGAAGCTCCAACGTCCCAACTGTACTTGACACAGTTCAGCACTACTGGACAGCCACCCTACAGAAACACCCATCTCTCCTCATATACCATGACTGTCATCAGCCATGACACCCATCTACCTTCTGGTGGTCTTTCTGTCTGATGTTCTCCAGAGTGCCCGCTTGCTAAGGCAGCTGAGATAGGGGCGAAGACTACCTCACTCTTCCATCCCCTCCCCTCTCACTCGGTGAGTGAGCATTCTTGCAAACAGCAGCCACAGTTCCCACAAGCAGGTTGGTGGAGGTCTATGGCAGCAGCCACAACACAGAAGTAGGGGACAACATGACACTGCCATCCCACCTCAGCCTGGGGAACACCAGATAGTAGTCATGACAACCAGAGCATCCAGGAAAAGGTAGGTGCAGATGTCACCCTCACAACAGCTCACAGCCAAGACATCTCATTATGTACAGCTTTTCCAACGACTGGGAGAGAGGATCCAAAATACCTTTGTTCCCATGCATTTGGACAAGGATACTCAATCTGCAGCCGCAGTACTCTATACATCAAGTGTTGCTATATTCATTTCAACACAAAGCCACAATGGAATGGAGCTACTTGTTTTATTTTTAGTACAGCTGGAACAAATTTTTCTCAGAGAATCTCTCCTTTGCACATCTTGAATACTGGAGATTTTCTGAAAATATTCAAATATTTGTTGATAATGTCTGCATTTAATAGCTAACTGCATGTAGTATTTGCTAGGCCATATAACAAAGAAAAATATTTTTCATAGACTTGTGAAGTTCTGTATTTGAACCAAAAAGGAAGAACGGATGCCAAGTTATGTTTTTAAAAAAATCTATTTTTCAAGTGAGCGTCCACATCACGTTTCAGATTCAATTTCTTTAATTAAAAATTAATTGCTTAATTAGAAATCTTAGCAAGTTTAATTTTATACTTGTTAATTAATTTTTAAACCTCTGATTACATTTTCATAATTTTATATTTGAAAAAAGATTATATCTAGCCATAGAAAATTATGCAAAAGAATTCTCACAAAATCCAATTGCTAAAATTGTACAATGCTATGGTGTTTCATTGCTTGTGTATCTTCATGCTGCTTCTTTCTACTGATGCTGAAATGTATATATTAGCCAATGGATATTGAAAAGATTCAAAGAGTTGAATCTTATTGGTTATTCCCAACAAGCACAGACTGGTTGGATCAACTGAAGAATAGTGGGTCAACATGTAGGCAAATTTCTGTTGACCCAATGGGCCTCTTCTAGTTGGGACTAACAATAAAGTTCAGGATCAAATATTTGTTTTATGCTGTGGATTAAGACAAAATATATGCTTTGCTCTTGACAATTCCTTTTCATCTTTCTATTCCAGTTACCCATACTAGCATCTTCTGTTGTTAGCCTCTATTTCCTTGAGCTGACAGATGTCTTCAAGCCAGTTCATTCTGGATTCAGCTGCTATGACAGGAGTTTGAGTATGCCATACATTGAACCTTCCCAAGAGGCTGTTCCCTTCTTGATGTTACTTAGTCTGGCTTTTGCTGCACCAGCCATTACGGTGAGTCATAGATGCTCTGACCTCCACTCATAGTCCCTTGCTATGTGTTCCATTTAAACAAGATGGGAGGTGCAAATAGATTGGAATGGAATTATTTGTGCTGTTTCATAGGGCCATAGGGGGGATGCTGTGAAATCCTCAAAGAGGATCAACATATCAGCAGAAGGCCTTGATAAATGCACTTCTGCATACTCTGCATTCCATTCATTTAAAATATGCATTCATGTTTCAAACAACTTCTTCAAAAATAATTAAATAATATTTTCAAAATCAATATTTAAAGTAACCTGTAAGTTCACTGTAAGTATATTGTACAGTTAAATTTAAAAGCTTACCAGAACCTCCAAATTTAATAAGTTAATTATGTACAAACATATATTAAATCATTCCAGCTATAAATAAGAATTACAAAATCAGTGCACAATTATGCATGAATGTATATTCTAGAAGTGTTATGTATAGATGGGCACACAATGTTATCAAGATGTTGTAATGGTGACGTTATTTTGGGGACTACATGCCCTTTATCTCACGTGATTAGTAAAGCTTTGGGGATTGTAATTTTGCCGTTTAGCTTCTCAATGCCCCATTTGGAAATAAAATGAATTATTTTCCTATCACTATCATATATTTTCTGCCATTCTGTTTTCTTTACAATTTTTCTATTTGCTTTCCCATCACATGCAAGATATATTTCTCCTCCCACTGTCCTTTCCCCCATTTTCTCTTTATTAAAAAAATCAACCGGATTTCTTATCTTTGTGAGCTAAAAGTGGACAGAACAAAATAAATACATTACCAGTCCTTCTTCTGCAGTTCCAAAACAGTGATGATAAAAGAAAGGAATCCATACTGCCCATCTTGGCTCCTCCCTCTAGCACAACATCACTGTAATGTTTACAAGCGGACAATGAGAATTCCCATCACATGTGAAATTTGTCATTTTTTCCCATCTACGTGGTGAATTGAAAATGAAGTTGATTGCCAATTGAGTTCTAAATTGTCAGGAAAAAATACACTTTAAAATGGCGGAAAATATTGTGTCATGTGATAGGCCCTGTTGGTAGCTATTTCTAAAGTGTGTAGAAACATAGAGTTTACTGAGTGTCATAAAGTCCTATGTTGTAATTACTGAACAGGATGCCAGTTTTTTAAAAAATATATAAAAATACGTTGCATCAAAAAAATCATATTGTTCTTTAAGTAAGGAATAATAACTAATGGATAAATCTGGAGATGAAATAGATAACCAGGAACATTTAAACACTTAAAAGTAATATTCCATGTTTTGGTCCCATGGGACACTAGGTAGAGTTTTTTTGCATTAAAAAGATTGTAAACTCTATTTCTGGTGCTCTTCAGTGTTGTTCTGGTTGTTCCCTGAGCAGAGAAGCAAATGTGTTGAAATGTAATTTGCTTCCTGCATCACTTTTCTGTAATTGAAAACAAGTATGTCTCCTGAGTAGGAACTTGGAGAAAAATAGGATGAACCAACAGAGAATAAGCAAAAGTAACCACGTTTATTCAGGTTCCTTCTCACTGCTCTTGATCAAAGTCATATCATCATAATGGCTACATTAAGGCATAGTATATTGTTAGAGGCTATTTTTGCCTCTTAGCTTGTTGCTCTTAGCTTGTAAAATCCTCTAAGTCCTCCTTAACATCTCCATTCCCGTGGAATTATACAACTGTCACTGCCCTCTTTTTTGCTTTAGGGGAAATAAGAAAAAGTCCATTAAGATACACAATGTAGTTCAGAGGAGGATTTTGGTTTAGCAATGATGTCAGACCACTCTATTCTCAGTTACTTGGATACCAGGAGGTCTAGTGTATCAGCAATTTTCTAATTGATCCTGCAGTACTAACTTTATTACAGAATTAAGAAGCAAAGTTTCCACTTATACAGATTCATATTTAAAGTATTTGATAATTAGTATCATCATCAAATGATGAACACAAGGCTAGCCCAAACCATTTTACTGAAGCAAAGAACAAGATGACATTCCACCATTCGGCATGAAAAAGCTAATGTGACCAGCAGTTTAAGTATTATGTACACAATGGCGTTAAAAAAATTACTTTTCAGAATGCCTCAGCCAGCATACACAGTATTATTCAAAAAAGTGCCTTTTTGAAACTGCACTGTAGAATTAATGTTGTCATACCACTTTAACTGTAATGGCTCAGTGCTATGGAAACTTGGGAATCTATAATTTGGTGAAGCATCAGAATTCTTTGGCAGAGAAAGCTAAAAATCTTGAACAATGGCAACTCCCATGATTCCATATCACTGAGCCAGGGCAGTTAAAGTGGTATGAAACTGCATTAGTTTTACCATGTAGATGCAACCTAAGACATAAACCAGTTGTTAGTCCCAGCTAAAGTTTAACTTATTTCCATTTTCTGCACAGAATTATTTTTCCAAAATACATTTTTTACAGAATAATTCCTACATGTTTTTTTCAAATATGAGGAGAAATGTGAAAGATTACAAATATGTTATTCTTCTGAGCCAATTTTCTCAAGAGAGACTGAAATAATATCACAGTTATGAATGTCTAACTAGAGTTACTCACTTGAGACTTATGTCTACATAGCCCCTCATTTAGTCTCTCAGTTCCCACTTAGTAGAAGGCAGTCACTGTGAACAACAGGGGTCTGTTCCCCTGTCAGTTGGGAAATAGCTGGCAAATGATTCCACTCATTCAAGCAATCTCTAGCACAAAGAAGAATAGAGGTAGGTAGTAGTCCTGTTTCTGCCTGTTGCATTGGAAATAGTTGACAGGAGTGGGGGTGGGGCTATTAGTCAGCTGCTTCCTGAGAAACATGATAGACCTCCATTGACTGCAGCATCTGCATAATTATGAATATAGCTTCCATCCCTACCTATTGGAAACTTTGCATTGTTCCAGTGTCATCAAGTTCCCTTTCTGTTCCCTTCCTTGCTGTTTCTGCTGCTTGGCATTACAACCCTAATGATTTCTTATTTTGTTTCTAATGGGGTTAAGTGATCATGCTGGATATGTTACTGTGATATCACCAATAATATCAGGCCAGTTGCAATTGCCAATCAAATTGAATGATACTGAGTGCAAATGAGACTATGGGCACATCAGACAGCCTCTTTATTGCAGTAACTCCCACAATAAAGAAGGGGCGGTCCAGATGACGTCCTTGACAATCTTGAATTAATTTACTACAAACCAGGAAAACCCCAAATTCATTAGATAGTGGATTTATTTCATGCCTTCTTGGAAGGTGTGGGATAAACCCACTACTTCGACTGTCTGGACTGTTCCCTCAAAAGTTCTGGACTTTTGAGGGGGCAGCCCAGATAGCAGTCCCATGTTTTCCTGGCTGATTCAGCCTGGAAAACTGTGAGGGCTCCAATCCCTTCCCCCAAACCCCCCACAAAACCCTAAAAAATAAAAAGGAAAGTTACTGGTAGCCATTTGGCTTCTCCTTCTTTCTGATGGAACATACCAATGGCACCCAAAATGAAGGGGGTCCAAATTGCTCCTGGCTCCCCCTATGTTTTTGGGCATCATTGGTATGTTCCCTCAGGTAGGAAGAGAAGTCAAATGGTTCCTGGTAAGTTTCTTTTTTATTTTTAAGAGTTTGGGGGGCGGGGGATTGGATGGCCACATGCTATCCTGGAAGTATTCAGGATAGCATGTGGACAGCCAAAGGGGAAAGCCCATTTTCCCCCCTGCCTGTGTGGATTTTAACCCCCTTTGGAGCGGGTTTCTTAAATCTGCTCCAAAGTGGGTTTAATGCATGTGTCAAATCACTCAATGACTAAAAAGAAAGAACAGCAGAGAGAACAGAAGTACCACACAAAAACACATGTCAGAAATGTTTACAACTAATGCTAAAAGTCATCCCAAAGCAGGCCATTTTTACATTCATATAAGCAAAACCAATGGAGAGAATGTTGATTTGACTATAACATTTTAAAACTTTTCAACATTTGAAGCGCTAGCTTGGAGTTGTGGTAAAGCTGGAGCCCTCCTGAAGTTTTTAACTTCGACTCCCAGACATCCTAGCCATAATGGCCAATGATAAGAATTCATGGGAACTGTAATATAGATTAAAATCACATCTCACAATTATCACACTTCTTTTTTTAGCCTTAGACCTGCTAACGCATTGTTCCAGAGGATCATTTTTCAGAGAGAAAGGATATATGTGTGCATGCAGGTGCACACATAGCTTCAACACTATGCAAACGTTTGCTATACTTGCAATGTATGTCTATTGTTCTTTTTTAAAAATCTTTTCAGTCTTCTTTGCAGTCTCCAAATGGGTGAATATATTTCTCTGACAAGCAACATATTTTAATGATAAGGAAAATACAGCACATCCTGTGCTACCATTTTCTGTGCCCACATTCAGAAAAACTGAATCAATACCTTTCTATGAGATCGTGTTAACAATGCATATAGTCAGCCTTCCACATTTAATGGGTTAGGTGTGCAGGACCCCTGCAAAAGTGGAAAATGGTATAATAAATCATCATTTTTACCTGAGAGAATCTCTCTTTAGGAATATTTAGGGCCTTTAGTTTCCACTAGATTTAGAGATAGCTAGTGGGGTGTTTTGTCTAAGGCAGTGGTTCTCAACCTGTGAGTCCCCAGATTTTTGTCCTTAAACTCCTAGAAATCCTAACAGCTGGTAAACTGGCTGGGATTTCTGGGAGTTGTAGGCCAAAAATGTGGGGACCCACATGTTGAGAACCACTGGACTAGGGTGTAGAAATTCTTAGAGATACAATTTTAATCAAATCTGCAAAAGGCAAACTGGCAAATTGTGGGGTGTCCTTTTTGATTAAGATCATTTCACTATAAATCAAATATTGACTTTGTCAAATAATTATTACAATTATCTCTCCCACCCCGCTGCTTTTCTATTGTAGATCATGGTGGGTGAAGGCATTCTCTACTGCTGCCTTTCAAAACGCCGGAACGGTATCAGCGCTGAAGCCAATATCAATGCAGGGGGCTGTAACTTCAACTCTTTCCTCAGGAGAGCTGTCCGTTTTGTTGGTAAGTCTTGCCAACTGTGTTTTGATGAAGGTTCCTGGTGTTGATTCTTTCTTTAGACATGCTATTTTAGAACCTGGATGGAGTATTACAGCTTCAGACCTAAAAAGATAGAACCTGCGAGGATGCCTTCCAAAATCATCTCCTAGTGGCAGCTGATCTCTCTATTCCTATCAAAAATTCTCACTAGACACTATGCAGACAGAGGCTATCATGAGTATCCATGTTTCCAGCATGATTTCCCTTATGGCCGTGGGAAGATTAAAAAGATTTTTTAAAATAGTCTCAGAACATGTTGGGATATGTTTGTTATTTTTAAAAAATGATAGATAGTGGTGGTGGTGACTCACTTATTAAATTTCTAACTTTTTCCAAGTGATATACAGAGATTAAAAGATCCTAATCATATGGTTGATAATTCAACAGACAGATAGGAAAAGAAAAGTAAGTAACATGAAAGCTAGCAGATGGGGACACAATGTTTTGCCCTCACATAATCTCTGCAGACATCATATATCTGGACAAGTTTTCCTTGCCTTTAGGAAGACTTGATTATTTGAATATGTCAAAGTACTCCAGTCCCTGAAGGACATCTCCACATAGTGCTTTTTTGTTGAATTTTCCTAATACTTGGGAAAATTGCCCTACCATTAACTAAAAACACACAGAGGAGTTTCAGAGTAAAGCTTCATGTTGATTCAATGCCCACTTGACATAAGAGCCACCATTTGATAAATTACTAGTGTATACAGCTTGGGACAGTTTTTTTTCTCCAATACCTGCCATCAAAGGCGTGCCCTTCTCATGTCATTCTGTTTCATGGTATGACCAGCCCTGATTATAAAGCTGACTTTTGTAACAGACAGAATCTCACTCCTGTGGAGAGCCTACAGGAGAGCTCAAAAGTAAGTTAACACTGAAACATGGAACATTGTCCTCTGTGAATTGAACCATTATTTAACAAGTGAAAGGGCAACTGAAATTCTTTCCTATTGTGCACCTAGAGAGATGGATTTGGGCCACAAGCCACCAGTTTCTCACTGCTGGACAAAAATTGTGCCAAGGATGTAATAGTTTCTTCTCCTTTTACTCTAGGTGTCCACGTATTTGGCCTTTGTGCCACTGCTCTCATCACTGATATTATACAGCTGTCAACGGGGTATCAAACACCATATTTCCTGACTGTATGCAAGCCTAACTATACATCCCTCAATGTATCCTGCTCAGAAAATTCTTACATTGTGGACGATATTTGCTCAGGACCTGATCCCATGATCATCAACGATGGAAGGTTGGATGGAAACTGATACATTTAAAAGAGTATATTTATTAGCTCTTTGAGAATTGGGAATGTTTTGCCATCTAATTTTATCCAAACTTACAAATGTGTATCGTTCAAAAACAGGAGGGGGTGTTATGCATTATAATTTCATGATGTCTGTATAGTATATGACTATGGATTCAATGCCCTTGATTTCACTTATTAACCTTCCCAGCAATATTCCACCTGAAAGTGTTTATGGGGCTTTCTATAGCCCCTTCCACATAGCTGTACAAAATCCACATTCAACTGGATTATATGGCAGTGTGGACTCAGATAATCCAGTTCAAAGCAGATAGTGTAGATTAGTTCCCTTGATATTCTGGGATTTATTTATTTATTTATTTATTTATTTATTTATTTATAGTATTTATATTCTGCCCTTCTCACACCGAGCGGATCACAGAACACATATACGGCAAACATTCAGTGCCATGATACACTGACAAGATAGACAGCTATACATGGATAGAGGTATATATAGGCTTTCCCATCTTTGGCATCTTGGAAGCTGTTCTTGTTTCTGGCCATGGGGGGGGGGGGTGATGCTGTGGAACCATCTTCCCTGCTGAAGAGCTTTGTTCATAAACTTCCTCCTTGATCGAATCACCAGCATTATATGGCTGTGTGGAAGGGCTCTAAGTCCTCCAGTACAATTATGTCGTTCTACTCAAATATAGGGTTTTCTATTATACATAGTTTCAGGTATTCATAGTGTTTTTGGAATGTGGATACAGGAGTTGTGCTGTATTTATTATTTCTGTCTTTTTTAAAAGTGTTTATCCATCACATTTGCCAAAAAAGGGTCCCAAAATGGCTTACAGATCGTAGTAGTGATACAGTTGCAAATCTTAGTCTTAAAAATGATGGCACACAAGAAAACTGGATAAGAAGGGAGAAGGAATAGACTTAGGAAAATTCTCCCAATAGAGATGATAGAGTAGCACAAGCTTCTCCCCTCTTCTCTAGCCTAATGGTGAGGGAGATGGTAACTCTTGAAGTGTAGAGTAATCCACCCCTGGTTTTAATGCCAGCTCTTTCCTTTCAGCAGCAGTTGCACCATAGGTACTGCAGATTGTATTAGAGCCATTGCAGTTCTGAACCTTAATTCCCAATGTAGGTTTAGCATCTGGATAGTTCCAATACAATCTGGGGCATCCGAAGCAGAACTGCCATTAAAATGTTAAGAACTGCTGTAAAAAGTAAGGATGGATTATCTCCCAACCCCCACCATACAACTCCAGTATCGCCAGCTTCCTCTGGCCTAGTGAAGACGCTGCCAGCTGGGTGACAGATGCAAGAAGGCCAGCTGAGCAGAGGCAATGGCATGTTAGCTCATAAGAACCAGCACAAAATGGTTGAGCAGATTAATTCCTTCATAATGATACAGAGTAAACAAGCTACAGTTGGCAAGACTGGGGGGGGGGGGGCAAGAGAGGAGCAAAATTATCAATCTCTCATTGACAATAGAGATCACAGAAAACAGCAAATTCTACTCTGTCCCCAATGAAACATTTCATTAAAATCCCCTTTGCTTTTTTTTTTTTTTTTGCAGATAATTACTGTAAGCAATTAATTGTATAGCTTTTGGGGTTTTTTGTTTGTTTTTCTTTTTTGTTTTGTTTTGTTTGTTTGTTTTTTGTTTTTTGTGCTATCATGCTATTCTCAAATCTGTAGACAACCGAGAAAGATGTATTGTCGAAGGATTTCATGGCTGGAATCACTGGGTTGTTGTAAGTTTTTCAGGATATATGGCCATGTTCGAGAAGCATTCTCTCCTGACGTTTCACCTGCATCTATGGAACGCATCCTCAGAGGTTGTGAGGTCAGACTTCACAACCTCTGAGGGTGTTTGCCATAGATGCAGGCGAAATGTCAGGAGAGAATGCTTCTAGAACATGGCCATATAGCCCGAAAAACCTACAGCAACCCAACCAAGAAAGATATTTACAAAGCAGATTGTGACTTTCTGAAAGTTCATTAACATCTTAGATTGCTTCAAAAAAGGGTCCCATGACCTCATAGAAACATAATACTTTGTAAACATGCATTCAGATGAGAGGACTCACCAGGATCAGCCCCGGGAATTCATGAATTATTCAAGGAAGACTAGGGAATAACACTAGAAGTATTTCTTGGCCTCTGTTTCTTAGAATTATATGTATATAATTCCCAGAGCTGCATAGAATCCCATTTGCCTTTAAGGCTGCCTTGACATTCTAAGGGAGCATACAATGTATGCTATGTTGCCATCTAATTTCCATGCATATTCCCTCATATAAAGGTCAGGACATATTCTGCTGCTTTTGCATACATCATACATTGTTGAAGTACCTTATTTCCTTAGTAGTCATATAGCAGTTTTTAAAGTCTTGTTTCCTAGGAACTTTTCATTATAGCAATTACCTTTTTTGAATTTAAAAGAAAAATGAAATATCAAACATTAACTTTAAGAGTTGGAAAGCAACCCCACCCCAAAACAAAAGTTTTTTTTTTGTTCTTTGACTATTAAAACCTCACCTACACAGCCCTAAAACGTGGACTTAGAAATGGATTAGCCTGAGGTATCCAGATGACATTCCAGGCAAATCCGCTAAAAACTGGACTAAACCGAATTTACTCTGTTTCGTCCAGGTTTAAAACATACCTCTAAAGATCCAGATCTTTGGAGGTGTGGGGCCTGTGGAAACAGACGCCTGGGATTACCTTCCATGATCCCAGTGTCTGTTTCCACAGCTAACCCTCCTCTCCAGGCAAGCCTCCCCCTCCCTCCCCTCAATTTCCCCCTCAACTTACCAAACGAAGGCTCGGATGCAGGTCTCGAACCGTTTCCCTCTCCCTCCATCCTCACCCTCTCCTCCACAAAGTCCTCTTTCAGCTTCTGGGAAGGAGGTTGGGGGGGGGGGGAGAGAAAGGCTCCAGGTCTCCATCTGGTAAGTGGAAGGAAGCCGCACCGAGTCCCTTGGGGAGATGGTAGCGGGGTACAAATAAAGTTTTATTATTTATTATTATTAATGGGGGGGGCAGGAAGAGGGAGGCTGGCAGTGCCTTCGCCAACCCCTGCTGATCTCAGATAAGCACAGAAGAGCATCTAGCCACCCCAACCCCTGCAAAATCCTAGGGTTTAGGCCAGCTGTTTGGTCTCAATTCCAAGAGGAACTGGAATTGAAAATCCCATTTCCTCTTGGAATTTTGGCCTGTCTGGAAGGGCCCAATCCATTCAGGTATTGCTTCTCTTTCTTTCCATCCTTACCTACACTAAGGAGTAAACACCATAGCATCATGCTTTCTTATCTCAGTAGACCAGGTCTTAATCAGGTTTCCCAACAAATGCAGTAGGCTGTGTACTTTCACAGCAGTTAGGGGATGCAAAAACCTCATGAAATTGGAAAAACTGCAAAAAACAAAAAACCAAAAAAACCAAAGCAGCCACTGCTGATTTTTTTTAACCATAGGGAGCACCATTCTAGAATCTCAGGCCCCTTCCACACAGCTGTATTAAAAAATCCAGATTATCTTCTTTGAACTGGATTATATGGCAGTGTAGACTCAGATAATCCAGTTCAAAGCAGATATGTGGATTATCTGCCTTGATATTCTGGATTATATGGTAGTGTAGAAGACCTTTCTTGGTTTTATCTGAGGCACCAAATGACACCTCAGGCAAAAATTTATCTGGAGAAACCTTGGATCTTTCCGGATGAGGATGCTGTGGGGATTGACTGCTTGTGCAGTCCCAAGAGTCAATCCCTACAGTGGTCCCGGTTCGTCAGCTCAAAGGACCCGAAGGAGCAGGATGGCACCCACCCACCCCTCCCCCTTCCAGCCACCCATTTTCCCCAAAAAACATTACCTGAGGGGCCTACCAGCAGCCTCCCCCATACCTCCTGGTGTATCATTTTCGCTCGTCAGAAGACCTCTCCAGAAGGGCCTGCCCTGCACTATCAACAGGTCCCCTCGGGTGTTTTTTTTTTGGGGGGGGGTTGTAATGGGGAAGGGTCAGGGTGGCTGGATGCCCTGGTGGATCAACCTCTGGTTGACCTGGGAGGACATGTAGCTAACTCCCAGGGAAAGTGTGGGGTTTGGGTTGGACATGTGGACTAAATGCTACTTTATGCTACTTTACATGGTATTACATAAGTCTGAGTTCTGCAATCATCATCGAAATATAGTATCTTAGCCCTTGCATCTGTGGTCATCTGTTCCTAGAGTATTGTGAAATATTATGTCTTTTATGTATTTCTTTTATGTAACTTTTATGTAATAAAATTATGTAATAATTTTATTCCTTATACTCCTCCCCCCCAAAAGTTCAGATCTTTTGACTTTGAGCAGTTTGAGCAATGTTAATATGTGTTATTTGTTAATGTGAGATTACAGCCGCTCTTTCTAAAATACCAAAAGGGGAATTTTTAACAACTCAGTAATGTGATAAACATTTCCCTGATTATATCTTGTAAGTTTAATATGATTTCTGTACTGGGCCACCCAGTGTTATTTTTAAACCTGCCCTAGCAGAATGTCTATTTAAGTGAGAAATTTAATTTGAGTGTCCTTCCTTTACAGAAAGTCATTCCCTTCACAACACGCCACTCTGGCAGCCTTTGCAGCTGTGTACGTTTCGGTGAGTAATTAAGACTCTTCTTAATATTGGGCAACATCAGAATGTCACTTCATGTCTAATTTAAAGCGAGATGATAAAGAGGCAGGAAATGCTATATGTGTGTGTATAATGTGTGTGTGGAGAGAGAGACTCCCCTTCAGGAGAGATAAAGCAGGGTGATGATGATGATGATGACAACGACGACGACAAAGGGTCATTAGGAAGCACACTTCTTCAAATACACGCGTGAACAATAAACTTCAATTAGAGAAATTCTTATTTATAGCACCCAAACTTTGGACTACTATTCTTCACGGCACTTTGGCACTTTCTCAAAGTTCTTTGTTTGCTGAATTATTATAATTGACTAGTTTCAACTGTTTTATTGGTTGCTTTCTTTTGTTTTATGTCATGTTTGTGCCCACTGTACTACAGTCAGTCCCCCAAATACACTAGGGCTAGGGACACAGGACCCCTGCAAAAGTGAAAAACCAAAAATGATTTTTTTTGCTAGTTTTCTGTTATGGATATCTTGATCCTCCAGTATAGTTCCACGGTTAACTTTTGCTGGAAGTTGCTTATAAAATTACACTGAAGAACTTAGAGAATCCTAGAAAGGTTTCTCTCTCAATGAATCTGTAGCTCCTTCATCATGACTGTTGCACAGGAGAACCAAGAGATTACTCGAGAGAACATTTTAATCAAATCCACAAAAGTCAAATTTGCAAGTGTGGAGGGACAACAGTATACAGTAGAGTCCCGCTTATCCAATCTTCACTCATTCAACATTCTGTATTATCCAATGCAGTCTGCCTTCCGCCTGGATCCAAAGCTGTTTCAATACATTGTGATGTTTTGGTGCTAAACTTGTAAATACAGTAATTACTACATAACATTACCATATATTGAACTTCTTTTTCTTTCAATTTGTTGTAAACATTATGTTTTGGTGCATAATTTGGTGCAAAATCATAAGGTAATTTGACATTTAATAGGTTTTTCCTTAATCTCTCCTTATTATCCAACGTTTTTGCTTATCCAATGTTCTGCCAGCCCGTTTATGATGGATAAGTGAGACTGTACTGTATATCTTTCACTTTTTTTTTCACCAGTTGGAAGAATGATGACTTCAAAATGTTTATATCCAGAAAGCAACCAATATTAACAAAAACAGCAACATTGACACATTCCCCCCCCCACCCACCCCCCACCCACAAGACCTGTCATGTTAAAAAAAAGGAAATCATAAGAAGAAGACTGGCGAAAAACAGGATGGTTAGAGTGAGAAAACAACCTCAGGAAGCAGATCTGGGGTGTCATAAAAGGATTGCAAATCATTACTTACTATGGTATTTTTGCTGCCAGGAAAAGAGAGATTTTAGGGTATTTTCTATTTTGTGTGCCAAAGCAACTTGGATGTTTTTTAATACTATACACTTTCATCCGGGTTGTAACACTGGTATCCTATTCCATCTCAGTAAAATACCTTATAATAATAATAAGACTTTATTTGTATACTGTCCTATCTCCCCTAGGGGACTCAGGGTGGATAACAGTGCCGTGGGAAACAGTGTCTTGTGGAAAACAGCATTCTTATGAAAAATTATGCTTTCCAGATGAAATCATCTTGAAAGCAGTATATTAATATGCAGCCAGTTCCCACTAACATAAATCTCTTAGATTCCCCCATCATTTGCATCAAATGAAAGAAACTGATTAAAGTTTGAAAATATACATATGTAATCAAGGAGCATGCAAAAAAGAGATGAGATGCTTCTTTCAGTTCATATAACTGCAAATTTAGAATGAGATGCTATGGATCTTTCATAGTGCAATCTTATTCATGCATATTAAAATCTCTTACACACTACACGATGGTGACATTTGGAAGCCATTTCAACAGATGTAGCTGCAATCTAATGGAATCGATGGGCCCTTCCACACAACCATATAACCCAGAAAATCAAGGTAGATAATCCATAATGTCTGCTTTGAACGAGATTATCTGAGTTCACACTACCATATAATCCAGTTCAATGTGCATTTTATACAGCTTGGTGGAAGGGGCCTATGACTCATAGTTTGGTGAAGCAATCAAGCTCTATAGCAGAGGATTCTGAGTCCTGGACAAAACTACAAATCCTAGTGTTCCGTAAGATGGAATGAAGGCAATTAATGTGCTGTCAATATTAATTGTGTACTGTGAATCCACAATATCTGCTTTGAACTGGGTTATCTGAGTCTACACTACCATATAATCCAACAATTCAATGTGGATTTTAGACAGTTGTGTGGAAGGGGCCTTAGACATTACAAGAAGAGCTCTAGTTGCAAAGCCATAGCTGTCCTCTTTTGCTCCATTTACTACTACTACTACTATTATTATTATTAGATACACAACAATATTAGTACACAGCAAACAAGATCACTGTGCTGGCTGTTATTATTATTAGAAACACAACAAGATGAGTCCACAGCAGAAACTCTGCTGGCTGTTGAATTGGATCACACTTCGGACACTTCCCAAGTGTTTAGGACTGTGTGATGTATCGGCGAATAATGCATGCAGCTCCCAGTAAGGTGGCCTTCTGCAGCTGGCAGATGGTACTTTTGTCAGCGCTGATTGTGTTTAAGTGCAGGCCAAGGTCTTTAGGCACTGCACCCAATGTGCCGATTATCACTGGGACCACCTTGACTGGCTTGTGCCAGTGTCTTTGCAGTTCGATCTTTAAATCCTCATATCGTGTCAGCTTTTCTCGTTGTTTCTCTGCAATCCTGCTGTCACCTGGGATTATTATTATTATTACCATCATCATTATCATCATCATTATAAAAAAAATGTGAAGCTCCTTCTAAGTCCTTATAGGAACCCCTCTCCCACCTCTTGATTAGGCATTTCTGTACTGTTTACAATTTTTTCTCTGTTCTTTTGCAAAAATCCAAGTGTTTATCTGGCAATGAGAAATAGCTCCCTCCCTTGTAGAGTTTGAGTTTATCTGGCAATGAGAAATAGCTCCCTCCCTTGTAGAATGCACAAATCAGGGAAAGGGCCCTAATCACATAATTCATCTTTCCTTTTTTATTAATTGAAATAATCAGTTTTGCTGTACAGGGCGGCACAGCAGAGCTTGTTCAGGTTTGTCAGTGAGAAGTATCACTTTCCTTTGCAGAGTATGTAAAACTGGGAAAGAATAGTAAACGCAAAATGCATATTTCCTTACTGAAAGTGTTTAAACGAGCATCACCTGTAAACTTGTGGAAGTATTTAATTGCAAAGCTCCAGTCTTGTGAGATTTTGAACTTAGGGGTTGCACAAATCTGATGGGGGGGGGCGTTATTGGCATGGATAAACAGGCAATGCTAAATGTGCTTGCTAGTTTCTTCAAGCACTTGGGGAACTGATTGGCGTAATGCGATGAGGGGCTATTCTGAGATGGATTGCAATGCCCTTTTTTAGAGCCTCATTTGATAATGTCCTGAATCGCAGGGAGTTCAAGGGAGCTTTCTCTGTGATTAATTGATATAGTGTGTGATGGCACCCTCAAACCTCAATTCTGAGTAATGTAATAAATTTGAATTGTGCTATTTTTATCCTTTAAATTATTTATTATTCACCGAACTGATATAAATCTGCTAACTAAGCATGGCTAATGATGTTTATCCAGACTGACTGTGACATTAGCTATATAGGACAACTAAATAAATCTTCAAAAAGAGGCTGAATATCCAGATGCATTACTACTTTTTAATACCATTGGTGAAAATGTTTGTTTTCTGATGTTTGCCTTTTTAAAATAATAATAATAATAGTAATAATAATAATAATAATAATAATAATTTGTTCATAAGGTTTTTTTTAAAAAAAAGTAAATTTCCTCTGACCCTGCTCCTATCCTTGTAGTCTGTCAATCACAAGTTTCCTTCACCTGTTTTGCTACTTTTTATAAAGAAACAAGAAAGGGCTTCTTCTGAGAAATCACGCTAAACTTGTAAAATGTATTTCTTTTTTTAAAGATGTACTTCAATTCAACGTTAACCGATTCCTCTAAACTCCTGAAACCACTTCTAGTGTTTGCATTTATCATTTGCGGGATCATTTGTGGACTGACTCGCATCACCCAGTACAAAAACCATCCAGTTGATGTTTATTGTGGCTTTTTAATCGGGGGTGGAATTGCCCTTTACTTGGTGAGTATCATGCAAGCATTCACAGATGCCTGTTTCTTGTTAATTAACTTCTTCTAATTAAGAAATTGTGCATTTCGTTTAGATGTGTAATAATTGTGTTCATGGTGATTCTCTGGAACCAGGATGGGGAAATATATAACACACAAATAAGATGTTACACTGCAATTCCCATTGTCATTCTCCATTACTTTTACTGGCTTATACTGAGTAAATCCAAGTTGTAACCTCAGCTCAAGTAAACCTATTTAATTAAGAGAAACAAATCAGTCAAGATGATTGATTTACTACTTCTACTCTAATCGTAACTACTATTTATTTATTTATTTATTTATTTGGAGCATTTATTAACCGCCATTCTCAGCCCACTCGGGCGACTCACGGCGGTGTACAGTACAAAAGGCAATTCACACAAAGACAAGTACAACAGCATATTAACCATACAACAATACAACAGTTAAAATTACACTAACTAATCCGCTTCGTCTCGTAATAGAATCGTGACCAATCTCGTATTCCTTGTACCATTCCAGTCGTCTTTACCACATTACTATAGCACTTAATTAAATGCCCTCTCGAACAGCCACGTCTTGAGGCTTTTTCGGAAGGACAAAAGAGAGGGCGCCTGCCTGATGTCTGTAGGGAGAGGGTTCCACAACCGGGGGGCCACCACTGAGAAGGCCCTCTCTCTCGTCCCCGCCAGGCGTGCCTGTGAGGCAGGCGGGATCGAGAGAAGGGCCTCCCCAGACGATCTCAAGGTCCTCGTGGGCTCATAGGCCAAGATGCGGTCTGAAAGGTATTTTGGGCCGGAGCCGTTTAGGGCTTTGTAGGCCAACACCAGCACCTTAAATTGGGCCCGGTAGCAGATCGGCAGCCAGTGGAGCTGGGACAACAAGGGTGTTGTGTGCTCCCTGTATCCCGCTCCAGTTAGTAACATGGCTGCCGCGCTCCAGTTAGTAAGCTTCCGGGCCGGTTTCAAGGGCAGCCCCACGTAGAGAGCGTTGCAGTAGTCAAGCCGGGATGTGACCAGAGCGTGTACCACCGTGGCCAAGTCAGACTTCCCGAGATACGGGCGCAGCTGGCGCACGAGCCGAAGCTGTGCAACTGCTCCCCTGGTCACCGCTGAAACCTGGGGATCCAGGCTCAACGATGAATCCAGGGTCACACCCAAGCTGCGAACCTGCGCCTTCAAGGGGAGTGCGACCCCGTCCAGCACAGGCTGTAACCCTATACCCTGTTCGGCCTTGCGACTGACCAGGAGTACCTCTGTCTTGTCTGGATTCTTTCAATTTGTTCGCCCTCATCCAGACCGTTACAGCGGCCAGATCTTAGTGGGTCTAATTCAGTTTAGGTCCTGAAGGCCCACACATTCCTAATCAACTCGTTTTTGCACAGAAAACATTGGGATTTTCACAAAATAGTTTTTTTGCAAAAAGCAATTGCTCAGCAAAGTTTGGCAAAGTTACTTTTTTGGAACTGAAACTTCCATAATTTCCCAGCCAGAAAACTCACACTAAGACTGTGATCTCTTCATTATTTACTACTATATATGTGATCTAACACAGAGACTAAGAATTGCTCATAAACAAAACTGAAATTATTAGAGAAATGTAAGAATTCTTCACTTCTTAATTTTTCAGCCACATAGCCTGATTTGCTGCTCCTGGCCTCAATTCGATTCATTTTCTACTCAAAGGTTGTGGCCTTTTTGTTCTTTAATAACCATGTAATGTAATATTTTCATGAAAGATAGATTCAACAGTTTAAAATTAATTTGTGTAGAACCACAGCCTCTGTTTCCAGTCAGTTTACAGTCAATAAACCATTCAAAAGAACCCAGAACAACATATTGCACCAAAAAATAGGAATTTTTTAATGTCTTTGTATATGAACTCTTAAAATATATAACTAGAAATGATTATTTCCCTTGCATTCATGTTCAGTGAAACATCCGAATGAACATCAAAATAAATGTCTGAATTCAACTACTTTCTATTGCCCTAAATTTTTTGTTAAGAAGTTCTGGTTTGGCAGGTGCCATCCATGCTTCAGACTACCACAATGCATGTTATAAAAGGCAAATCCTGAAGAACACTTTCTATTGCCCTAAATTTTTTGTTAAGAAGTTCTGGTTTGGCAGGTGCCATCCATGCTTCAGACTACCACAATGCATGTTATAAAAGGCAAATCCTGAAGAACACTTGGAAGCTTTAATAGGTATCATGAGTTGTAACTCCCATCCTCCCTCACCATAGGCTATGATAGTTTGGCCTGATTCAAATTGCATTCCAATAACATTCAGAAGAGCACATATAGCTGATCCCTGCCAAGCTGCATTACATATGTCTGTCTATCTATCTGCTATCATCTATCATCTATCTATCTACAATCTATCTACACACTAGGCTTGGGCGGTTTCGTTCGTTAATTTCGTAATTCGTTATTAATTCGTATTCAAATTAGCTTACGATCCAATATTGAGCCATGCAGGAATAGTGTGAGGAGTAAATTAGATTCGAAACAATTTTTTCAATTTATTTCGTAATTATTTATAATTATTTCGTAATTATTTTGTAATTATTTCGTATTTATTTTCGCATGTCTGGTGCAAGTTTTATAGTTGTTGTTTGTTTTATCACACCAACAGTCAACAACAGAGGGAGAGGGAAGCTTCAGAAGTTCCCCCTGTCCCATTTGGAGGATTTTTTAGCATATTGCGCAATCGCGTCCGCCATTAACGAATCGATTCGTAATTTACGAAATTTCGGAAATTTCGAAATTTTTAAAGGAAAATTTCGGAATTATTAAAAAAAATGAAACGCAAGGGCCCCCTAAAAACAAAACGAGTTTAGAACCAAATTTTCCGTGGTTACCCAAGCCTACTACAAATGTTTTTATTGGACTATTGGGCAAAAAGTAAGATATAAATCAAATAAACAAATACCGTATCTGCTATACTGAGCCAACCATGATTGAAGTTCTTACAAATCTATGTTTTCAGTAATTAGATCCCATTTCTCTGTTTTTCTTTCAATATCAGGGCTTCTATGCTGTGGGGAACTTTCTACCAAGTGAAGACAATATGCTTAATCCAAACCCCCATCGAGAACCACTGAGGTCTTTGACAGACCTGAGCCAAGACGCCAGCAGAATCTTACCAGGGAAAAACAGTAGCAGCAATGATGCCATTTCCACTCACCATCCTGAGAGTATGTTGAACAGGAACCACAGAGAAACTGGCTCTCTGACCAACCTCAAAAGAGGAAATGCTGATGTGGAGATTATAACCCCACGAAGCCCAATGGGAAAGGAGAACATGGTCACTTTCAGCAACACTCTGCCAAGAGCCAACACACCTGCAATGGAAGAATCAGCTCGACGGAATGCAACTATTCATGCCTCTATGGATTCAGCCCGCTCAAAGCAGCTACTCACTCAATGGAAGAACAAGAATGAAAGCCGGAAGTTGTCCTTGCAAGTGATAGAAACAGATTCTGGACAATCACCACCTCGAGCAATTGAGATGAGGTCAAGCTCTGAGCCATCCAGAGTTGGTGTCAATGGAGATCATCATGGTCCTACCAACCAGTACCTAAAAATCCAACCTGGTAGTATGCCAGGGTGTAACAGTGCAGGTCTGTCTGGTGGGCCAAGGGTTTCCATTCAGTCACGCCCAGGTTCTTCACAGCTTGTGCATATTCCTGAAGAGACACAGGAAAATGTAAACACATCTCCCAAAACAAGTTCTGCTCGTGCAAAGTGGTTGAAAGCTGCTGAGAAGACAGCTGGGTGCAGAACCAATAGCCAGCCAAGGATCATGCAGGTCATTGCTATGTCGAAGCAGCAAGGAGTCCTTCAGGGCAGCCCACAAAGCTCTGAAGGCAGTACGGTCACCTGTACTGGATCGATCCGATATAAGACCTTGACAGACCATGAGCCGAGCAGTATCGTAAGAATAGAGGCCCACCCTGAGAACAACCGACCCATCATTCAGATGCCATCAGAAGGAGAAGGGAGTGGCTCATGGAAATGGAAAGCACCTGAGAAAGGAAGTCTTCGTCAAACATACGAGCTCAACGATCTCAACAGAGACTCAGAGAGCTGTGAATCTTTGAAAGACAGTTATGGATCTGGGGACAGAAAACGAAGTAACATCGACAACAGTGAACACCATCATCATGGGATGACCACAATAAGGGTCACACCAGTAGAAGGCAGCGAGATTGGTTCAGAGACCCTGTCCATTTCCTCCAGCCGTGATTCTACACTTCGAAGAAAAGGTAATATCATTTTAATTCCAGAAAGAGGAAGCAGTCCAGAGAACACCAGGAACATCTTCTACAAAGGGACGTCTCCTACAAGAGCCTACAAAGAATGAGAGTTGGTGCTTTGGTCGAGCCATACAACTAACACTCAATACTGTTTGGTACAAGGTTTTTGCTCTCTCTCTCTCTTTATTATTTTATTTTTTTGAGCTGATGCTGAAATATTCTTGATGTGCCAAAATATCGACCATCAGCCTGACTGTTTATGGATGTTGCTGATGTGTAGTAATTGTGCATGAATTTGTGGATTTCATGTCGCAGGGGGGGGAAAGCACAAAGCAAGAACCTAATGAATGGGAAATTTCCTAATGTGGTTTTTTTTTCAGAGACTCAAAAGATTTTTCCGATGGGAATGATGTCAACAAAAAGAGCAATCTTAAATACAGACACCTTAATTCCTGAATGTGCCAACTTGTTGATTTATATCAGTCTAAGGACAAACGAGAGGTGATTTTTTAATTTTTAAAAAAGCAAAAGCTGTTGTACTTCACCTTTGCGGGTTTTGCACCAAAATTTAATACAAGTCGGTGCTGATTCTAACCTTACCTTTTTAGACAACGTACATACCTGCTCTACAAACACATGATGTTTTGATATGTAATTCCTTTTCAAGTGATATTGCTGAAAAATATGATGTTGGCTGCATTCATTTAGAGTAGAAAATAAAATATTGACAGCTTTGTTATAGTGGAATGTTCACATTAAGAGATAGAAAAGATTATGTGTAGTACCTTTGAAATGTTTCCTGAAACAAAAACAGACATGGATGATAGCCCATGGGAATGGAATCATTTTCTCTTCAAATTAGTTTTTCTGTTTAGTCGCAGGTGCTAAAAACCAAGAGGTGACATTTTAGTGAGCTAATCTGGACATAGTTTAAGTATTGTGGTAGTGTTTCTAAAAAACAGGGATCGCTTTCAGCACTAATTTGCATCCTTTATTTTTAACAGCTCCTTGGTTTTCTCACTGCTGATTTTTCCTTTTTTAAAAATGCATCAATGAGTAACTAGTGCTTTACACTGATAATGCACTTTTGTTGTCGAAACGAAAATAACAACAGGCTACCTAACCCTCTAGCAATGCTGAACAGGTATGGGAATATCTTTGATGTGGCTGGAGCTCATCTTTCTGTGTGCACCCACTGCTTTCTTTTTATCCTGCCAGAAGTTGTGCTGCAGCCATTGTCTCCTATATTAGATAATGTAGCACAACTGGAGAAGCAAGGTGTCTGTAACATACTTGCTTGACTATTCTTTAGACTGGTGAAATGGCCTATGGAGATGAGAGCTGAAAAATGGTGGCTGCAGAGCAGCCCAGTGAGTGACCCATCTTGCTGTGTCCTATCACAGGTTGGTTTTTGTCATCTCACACTAAAAGCAAGGTGATACTGAGCCAGCAAAGTGTTCATTTTTCAATTTCCTTGTGTCACTATGTAACACCTGTCTTCCTCTGAGTTCTTAATATCTTAGATAGCATACAAAACTCTAAAAGGGAGCTGAGGCAGATGGTAGATGGTAGACCCAGAATACTTTGGGGACAAATTAAAAATGAAGCTCACACTCAGAATTGGTTGCCTCGTTTCTTTGACATTGCACTACATTACAACTGCTAAACTACTTCTTGCATATTTAGCTAAGCAGTCTTTATTTTAAAAAATTGAAATGGCTTTTAGCAGCCATGTTAATAAACAAGTGCTACATTGTGCAAATGGTTATATTCAGTGAAGTGTCTCTTTTAAGAAAACTTTCAGTTAGGTATCTGAAAGTTTGTTGTTGTTTTTAGCATGGACCCATCTCAGGGAGGTGAGACGCCACTGAGATAGTTTATTAAGGAGAATAACTGGCTAGTTTGGAGGTATTCAGACAAATGAAATATGCTGTGAAAGGGACACAAGACAATCTGTCTCTTTCCTAGTCCTATCTCACTTCCCACATTTCCATCATAGATCTGTTCTGTCTTGTTTCTGCATTAACCTGTAAAGTTTTGAAAATTTGCATTGAAATTGTTATACAAACACACAGGGCTGAATCCTATTGCTTATTACAACCAGAGAAGAAGACACAGTGAATCAATATACTTGTATTTTGACTCACCTGTTGCCATTTGAGTCAATGGAATTTATTCTGTTTGGACTAATCCGTGGGATTCAGGTCACATTTATTTTCTCTTAAAATGTGTATTTTTAAAAATGTTTTAAACATATTCTTTTTTATTTCCTAACTTGCCTCCAAAGTCATTTTACCCTCACAAGTATTAGCTTGCCTCAGAGACTGCCCAGAGATTTCAGTCTGAATTTCCTTCATCCACATTGAATGCATCTTTTCTAGCCCTTCCACATAGCTGTGATTTTCTAGAGACTCAAGAGTGAGATCATTTCAAGGCTACCATCTGAAAGATCATTTAAATTATTCGTTATATTTATATAACCTAGATTTTGTGCATATGAAGATACATCCTTCTGCAGGAAGGAAGCATTTATTGCTAAACCTAGTTCAAAACCAGGATTTTACAATATTTTGCAATCATGTGATTTGTGCACACACAATGCAGAGATCCAAGGAAGCAGGCTGGAGATAACATCTTCAGATGCATTGAAAGGCAAGTTACGAAAAACTCACATTAAAAGGTTCCCACCTTTTAATGCTGAGGAGAGCTACATGTTGTGATACACTTCTGGATCTATATCCCATTTCCACCATCCCACTGTTGGCCATCCAGTTTGAAAGTCCCAATCCAGCTCAAGGATCTAGCATGTGCAGCGCTGATGGCTGGATGCAGGCATCCAGCCTAGAGTTCTTTATCCTCTTTGTACCTATTGATCCCAACTCTACAAAGAAATTAACAGAGACCCTCTTACTGGATTGGGGGATTATTTTCCATTTATAGGATTAATTAACTTTTTTTCTTTTTAAAAATGTATACAAGACTGCAAATCTGAAAATGTCTTGTGTTTATCATTTTTCTGCAGTTTAAATAACTGTAGACACTTTACTAGATAGATGAAGGATTATAGCTTAGTTTAGCAACACCAAGCTGGAAAGGCTTTGAAAAAAATAAGTCATTGCTGGCCTAGAAATATAATGGGAGAGCTTAGAGATATTAATTAGAAAGGGAAATGATGAATATGAGCACAATCCTAGGCATATCTACTCAAGTGTTAGGCCTATTCTGTTCAATGGAACTTACCCTCAGGTAAGTGTATGTAGGATTGTAGTCTGAAAGTTCATATATACTGGGAATGCTAGCCCAGTTTAAATCTGCCCCAGAGCAGTTCCAGATCCAGTAAGTATGTGCTGAATCCAGGACCATTTTCCAGACAACCCAGGACCACATCCACTCTGCTAGGCAGTGACTTATTCCGTGTCACCACTGCCACTTCTAACCAGCTACGGAGCTCTGTCCAAACACCTGGGCACTGTGGTCAGTGTTCTGCTGATGTCAGACGGCCACCCACATGACCAACAAGGAGGAAGGGATACATCTCTCCTCCTTCTTGCTGATCAGCACAAGGAAAGTGTGATGGTGGTAGTGTGTATCTGGATAGGAGATGGGGTTGAATTGGACCTGATCCAGCTGTCCAGACTACCCCAGGATACTCCAGTTTCAAGCAAAATCCAGAGTATCCCTCAATTTGTCTAAAGCACTGCAAAGTTAGAGCATGGCCAAAAAAAAAAAAAGACCTGGGATACTTACTAAAAGCTGCTGTGTGTCATGAAGACTGTCAGTGGTCCATTTCTAGTAAGGGTTTTTTTTGCGTGTGTAGAAAAGCCCTGAATGACTGCAACAATTCACAGAGGAGAAAATGGACCTTCTGAAAATGCAGCTTGTTTTGTCAACAGTGTGTGCATTTTCTTTTATGGAAATGGTTGCTTTATTTTTATTGCCATTGGTTAAGTTAATTTACCATATATTAAGATATCATGAGTTACTTTTCAAACACAGAAATTCACTGCATTCTTTCCAATGCAGTGTGATATTTTTCCTATCTAAGCTTTTTCCTACTTAACTATCAAACAATTTTAAAGCACTTGCAGGATCATTGTAATCACATTCTTTACATAAAATATTTAAAATACTCTTTTTTTACTCAGAAGTGCCAAAGGCTACTCTTTTTAATAATGGCTTCTCAGAAACATGATTACAATCAAGAACAAAAAAAAATGTAACAAAGATATACCTTGAATTTCTAACTTCTCTGCGTATATCATTTATGGAGCCTTTTGTAAAATGAACCTTTGTTTACATCCCACTGATACCTTAATTTCAGACAAATCAAATAAATTGACCGGTGGCATCTTCTAATAATTCTTTTCTTACTAAAACAGGCACCCATTTCTTTGTTAGGCTGTGCTTTACTAAGAAAAAAATTGGGTAAAATACAAAATATGTTTTTAAATAAGAATTCTATATAAAGTATTGTGTTCTATTAATAAAATGTTATGCACTGTTTTAAAATGAAAACAAAAACTATTTGTAAATTGCTATAAATGTATTTTGTTAAATAAGGACCGAATCAATGCTACTGTGTGAGTTTAATGTGCTAATATCATTTTAAAAATAAAGATTAAATTCTTCATTCAAATAGAGATATTGCATCTGTGTCACAAGACAGTTTAATTTTACCCTGCACTCTCTCTTTTTCCATTTAATATCATATGTAGAAAAACCAGCAACATGGAACTGGGGCCAGAATCAGAGTAGTACAACTTGGCTAGCACAATCTTTCTGCCCATCTCTGTGTCGGACTTTCCAAACCCTTTAAAATACTACATAGAAAGTTAAAGGTATTGGCTAAATGAAGGAATGTGTAGTGTGGGGAAATCAGTCAGCGACACCATCTATGAATCTGTTCTACTACAAGACAGTAGAAGCAAGACATGATTATAGTGATGGGGTGACAAGTTCAGTTTAAAAATGGCTGTAAATAGAGGTTAGGGGACAATAGTGGGACATAGGATCTACATGAGTTCAAGGTGAATAGTGAAACTAATACTAGTGGAGGAAGTATTCATAACAGTTGTCACCTTCCCCCATTGAACTCAGTATAAAACCCTCGTGGTTATGTTTACAAGACTCCTAGCAAATATGTAGTTGCTTGAGGTGTATTCCAATTCTTGCAAGAAGTCCTTATTCATGGAAGTGCAAACCAAGTTTTAAAAAATTGACTCTTTCCTGATGTCACCACCCATGGAGTCAGTTCCTCAACTATATTTTTCAACAAGAAGAAGAGCTCATAAAACTTTGGATCATGTTGAAGATTGTATTGTTTATCCTAATGTGTACCAGAAGCAAGGGGAAAGAGTTGGTGGGCTTGATGAGTTTTGTCAGCCTCTCCATCATATCATCGATCTTTACCCCTAGATGATAGCACACCACTTGAGATATCTTTTCAGGTGCACACACCACTGCTGCAGTTGCTTCCAACAGGCAATCATATATCATCACCAAGGTCTCTTCTTTATTTGGAAATTGACAGAATCTTTTCCATTTATTGATTCTTCCAAGGTTATTCCCATTCTTTCTGAGGAGTAAAACAATTGTCCCTGTTCCTGTTCCTCATTGTTATTGATTAAGGGGAATGTTTGGAATCAATATCTCCATACTTAGTTCTTGATTATTCTGCTTCTGTGTGTCACATCTTATCAAAGAATCTGTCTTCTGTGCTTGAGATTTGTCCTCTCTAGAGGTATCCCCTGTATCTTGCTCTTTCAGTAGAGTCTGTTCCACAGTTTCCAAACAAGTTTCACCTTCAATGATAAATTGAAGTATAGAACTATGGACAACAAGATGCTGCACTTTCTCTTCAAGCAAGGCAGGTCTGTATCTCAGCAATTTGCACTTGCTGAGATACAGACCTGCAGGTCCTCTGCAAGAAAACATATGTTGTACAAAAGTTGAGGTTACTGGAACAACTCCATCATAATCCAGGCATGTCATCCTATATAATAATGTGACAGCGGTGCTGAAATGCTTTTAATGCAAACTGCTCAGAGTCTCTTTGTGGAGAGAAAAAGCAAGGTATAAATATACATAATGATGAGGATGAGAGTTATCCCACATACCTGGAAGGGCACAGTTTAGTAGTCTTGCCCTAAAGGATGCAAACATGCAACATATCCAGTCTAATTCTTCATTTAGAAATCAGTGTCTGGGATCTATCTTTTTGTCACAACACAATCTCAGACGACGACAACAACAACAACAACAACTTTATTTATATTCTTCCCTATGTCCCTAAGCAGACTAAGCAGGTAAAAGTCAACTTGACTTCTCAGTCTGGGAAACCGATGATGTAAAAGCTCTAACCAATGCTGTGGTGCTCTCATTCAGATCTGAAATTGCATACATAATTGCCTAGATTCAAAACAGCGATTTTATTATCATATGTGGGATCCCATCCGGTCACCATTTTGAGAGAGATTCTGAAGAAAAAATAAGAGTTATTTTGGTGCTGCAGATGGGTGCCTTCCATGACAAGTATCAAGAGGAAAAATCACCCTTGGGCCAAGCACAATTGCATAATCCTGCATTAAAGAATCAGCTAACTTAGAGCCTCAAACCCCAAA